AATGCCAGGGGCCATACAGACTCGGCTGTGGCTCTCAGCAAGGGATCGCATTTCAAAACATAAGGTTGGATGAGAAGAACAAAATGCCTTGGAATCCATCCAGTGAAATTCTGTTCCTTTGCCCCAAACAGGGAGAACACGATACTATCTATGCATAGCCCGTGTAGTTAACCCATTATGTTCCATCATCCTAGATGCAACACCTATAGAATTCTATAGAATCCCTATAAATTGTTCAATATAGGTTATTACAAGTGTCCTATGTAAAGGATTGATGGCACACAATGGGCTTAATAAAATAAGGTGTGGATAATAAATACCAAATTCACAACTTTGGGGGCAGGGGAAAGGATCATAGCAGGAAAGTGTATATGAGGGACTTCAAAGGTGTCTCACTTAAATTTTTTTCCATATTTAAAATAATTGAAACACATCTATTGGAATGCCAAAAGGAACTCGGGAATCACAAAGCATCCTTCCATTGGAATAGAGAGCAAAGTTGGGCATGGTAGTGCACACCTGTGACCCCAGCACCTCAGGAGCTGAGGCACGAGGGTCATAACTTTGAGGCCAGCCTCAGCAACTTAGAAAGACCCTAAGCAACTTAGCAAGCCCCCAACTCAAAATAAAAAAGTAAGAAGGGCTGGGGATGTGGCTTGGTGGTTAAGCACCCTGGGTTCAATCCCTAGTAGCAACAATAACAACAAAAAGAGTATAGGCAGCAAAGCAGCCCAGGAGAGTCACTTCCATTAAGGTGAAAAAAACTGATTTATAAGTTTTTACCAAAACCCTCAGGGAATAGTAATTATAATTTATATATTTTTAACATTAAGAACATAAAGCACAAAATACAATCAGTATAAATTTATATTGCTTTGGATGCTCAGAAGAAACAGGATGAACTGGAAGAACTTTATGCAAACTTGTTTTTTTCAATGCAACACACCATCTTCTAAAAATTTTTAACCATAACATGTGCATCCCGAGTCCACAGACCATGTGTGTACTAATATGCACACATGTGTCCATATGCCATGTGTGTACCTGCAGGTACACTTGTGTCCCTAGACCATGTGAGTACCTGCATGCCCATGTGTGTCCCTAGACCATGTGTGTACCTGCATTGCACATGTGTGTCCCTAAACCATCTGTGTACCTGCATGCACATGTGTGCCCATGGACTGTGTGTACACACATGCACATGTGTATCCATAGACCATTGTGTACCTACATGCACACGAGTGTCCATAGACCATGTGTGTTCCTGCATGCACAAGCATGTCCATAGACCATAACCAACACGCAGGGGAGGAGATCGAGTGTGGGAGTACCGTTTCTTTAGAGTGGTTTGTTTTATGGTGGAATAAACACCTGTATAAATAGGCTCATTATTCTGCTTACACTTCACGTTTTAATTTTAGAAAAACTATTGCTAGCGTTGATTCTAGAATGGTCAGTGCAGTTTAAACACTGGCTGGTCTGGTGGTTTGCGAGTCTTGGACTCAGCTGGCAATGGCAGCACTGGAGCCTGTAGTGGAGCCCCAGCCTGTGCAGCATCTGTGGCCCCGGGACAGCCCAGCGCTCCTCTGGGCACCTGGATGGTCAGTGTGTGTGAGCAGCACCTCCCCCTGCTCAGAGCTCCAGGGGGGGCCTCAGAGCTGTGTTCCCCAATGCTGGCCCATGGGTAGGTGTGGTGCCCACCATCTTGGACTGTCCTTTTCTACCTGAGCACTTGCTAGGACACTGGGCATTCTCTTAGGGCAGATTGGCCTGGAGATCAGGAAAGAGTCCATGGTGTGAGGACCAGGAAATAACTCTCTGGACCAGGGTTTCCAGCATGTCCTGTGGGCTCTCGGCTGGAGAAGGCCTGTGGGGCGTCCTGTCCTGCGCCCTGTGGACATGTGCCCTCCAGAGGCCAGCAGCACCCTCCTTGCTATGATAACTGAAGGAGCTCCAGGCGCCGCCCAGATGCCCCTGGACAATGGGATCGCCCTGCTGGGACCTGCCGCCTGGAGCGTTGTGATCCTAGGAGCCTCCGGCACCCCTGCATTCTGGAGGGTGCAGGTGGATGGTGTGGGGGGAGCAGCCTGAAGAAGGCTCCTAACTGGAGCAACAGGGGCAGGGGCACAGACAGCAGAAGGCGGCAGCAGGCGGGCACCCCTGACCTCTGGAGGGGTTGCTGGCCACAGGCACTGACATGAGGAGGAGGAGGGTGGGTGCCAGCCCTGGGCCCCTGGCGCTGTGAGGCTCTGTCATGGACACCCCACTCTGCCTGTGCGGGCCTGAGCCTTGATGGAGCCTGTACACATTTGACCACTCTCCTCTTGGGCTCTGCAGGGCTGTCACTGGAGGGTGGACTACGTTCCTTGGGGATAAATGACAGTTGTTTGATCATTTCCTCAAAAGACACATATCAGGCACCCACCTGGTCAGGGGCTCTTCCAGGCACTTGGACCCCAGTGAACCCAGAGCTGGGTGGTGTGAACAGGGAGCCCCAGGGTCTTGGTCTGTGAAGGTCGTCCAAGATGTCCAGTCCCAGGTGACAGAGAACGGGCCAGCCCACTGTCAGTCCTAGCCCTAGCCCTAACCTGCAGTCAGCCCACTCGGGTGAGCATGCCCAGTGCCATTGTTGCCTGAAATGTCCCTAGGGCTGCCGCTGCTCAGGGCCACAGGCCTAGAGGGGTTGTAGACACCCCAGAGGGAGGAGCGCAAGGCCTCCCAGTGGGGTGCTTCCCTTGAGCTCCTGAGACAGGCCTTAAAGGGTCAGTGGGCTTTAACAAACCAGTCCTGGGGCTGGGGAAGGTCCTACACTCAGATGGGGGCTCTGAGAAAGCCGCCAGAGTCACGGGTCGCTGGCACACTGGGACAGCTGCTGACTGGTGACCCGAGGCCTTGGGGCGCTGGGAAGGCACAGCACTGCGTGGAGAGGGCCTTGCGGGGCACCTGGTCTGGGAACACAGGCACCAGTGCCCCCTGGCTGGGACTGCTGCATTCACTGCTCTTCCTCCAAAGCASATTAGGAGGGTTGCAAGCCCCTCCCCCAAGGGGTGACATGCTAATTGTCATTGAGACCAAAATGTAAATTTGTCTGTGTGGGACCCAGGGGCAGGGGCTGGCTCCCAGCTGACCTACCCAGCCCCAACCTCAGGGCAGGGGGAGGCCTGCCTGGCAGACACGGGTGACATTTCCCCAGAGTGGATGGTGAGCCTTGTCGGAGACCAGCTCCAACAGGGGGTCTCAGGAGACAAACAGATGGTGAGGAGTCGGCGAAAGCGGGGTGGAGAAACAACACAGACACCAAAGTGAAGGTGCTGAATCCCAATCTTTACTTGTGAAGTTCACCATATATACTTTTCATTTTGGCAGGTTCACAGTACTTTGTGGTTACAAAACAGGAATCATTATTCAAAGAAACAAAATATTACGTAGCTACAATTAGAATAGAAGAATGTATCTTGGCTTATGCATAAGCAAGCATTTTTCCTTTCAGTTTGCGTTTTGCTTTAAGCTGTTTCTGTTTAGTTAACGTTTAATAATAGTTAGAAATGTCCCAACTATTGGCCTATACCTTGACTATTCTTTCTTGACTTACTGACTGGAACTGGTGCCATGGTTACGGCAAGTGGTTAACTTGTTATTAATTTTAATCAAACAAGAGTAAGAGCACAAACCATTGTGCACAGGAAGAACAAGTTGCCCAGTACTAAGCACTAATCTATCTTCTTAACATTAATTCTTCTTCTCTAGATTTTAATTTAATTTCTCAAAAACTTCCTTGACAGGAATACAGGGAGTTTTTCATTAGACATTATCAATTTACGCTCCACAGCTGAATCATTGCATTTAGAGCAAACAGATCTATTCTTAGAAGTAGTTGCATTAATTGGGAAAGTCATGTTTTTTCCTTCATGCTTAATGGTCATATGAGAAGTCGCAACTATACTTATTAAAGGAGTACAAAAACAAACCAGCCCATTCCCAGAAACATACTGCGCTCCTCCAGAGGATGGACGCCCTGCGCCATCCACCTCAGTAGGGCCTTGCCATTGCCTGAGTCAGGGGAAGGGTGCAGCAGAGCCTGAAGCTTTGCTGATTCAGCCCACGCTGTGGCCTCCCTCTGGATGCTGAGACCTCAGACCCAAGGTCAGGAGTGTCCAGGATGGTGTGACTTCACCCAGGAGCTTTGTGCAATGAACGCCTACTTAGCGAGCACTTCACCCTGGGCCGCTCATATCAGACGGAGCAGACCATCCGGTGCTGTGGACAGGGCACGGCAGTGAAAGCCGATGACCACACAGTCCCAATGGTGCTGTGGTCCCTGCTCCTGGGACCATGGTGTGGGGGTGGAACACAGGGTCTTGTGTGTGCCAGGCAAGCGCTTTACCATGGAGCCACACCTCCACCCTTTCTATTTTCTTATTTTGAGGTAGGGCCTCACTAAGTTGCTGATGCTGGCCTTGAACTTGTGGTCCTCCTGCCTCAGCCTCCCAAGTTGCTGGAATCTCAGGGTGTGCTGGGATGGCCACCCTGACTGGCTTGCTTCTGCATTTCGGGAACAGTGGTTAATGTGGGGTGGGGATGCGCTGGGGTTGACCAGGTTACCATTACAATGGGAGAAGCTTATTCTGGCTATAGGATCAGAGATCAAGTCCAGTTGGGCAGGCTTTGTGGGGCTTCAGAAGAGGTCAGCAGCCGGAGCGGAAAGGTGGCCTTTGATTTCAGGCATCTTGGCTGCTCAGCTGGACCCCCCCACACTTGTGGCCTCTGTGACCCCCAACCATCTTTTCATATTGACAGACCACAAGTTGAAGGAAGCGGGGGTGGGCTGGGCCAGGGGGTTTCCAGGGGCAACCACCATCAGCAGGAGGACCTGGGGGCCCAGGCTGGAGGGACCCAGCCCCACAGCAGCCTGGAGGACTGTTCCTGGTCCCGAGACAGACAGCTTCCCCCAAGTAGAATGAATGGAAGCTACACTTCTGCTTTCTCTCTCTCCTGTTCAGGCTCATATTTGGCACCCTCTACCCTGCGTACTACTCCTACAAGGCTGTGAAGTCCAAGGACATTAAGGAGTATGTAAGTAGAGCCCTTTGCTGCATGGCGGGGGTGGGGGGGTGAGGGCTGGGTGCAGGGTTTGCCCTCAGGAGTGGGCCTGTGGCTGGTGGAGACTCCTCTGCAGTGGGTCCCAGTCTGGGCCCTGAGTGTGGTGGGAAAGCAGAGCTGCTCAGCCAGAAGACAGGGTGCCCATGCGTGAGTGACCTCACCACCCTCAGCCTCAGTTTCCTTGTTGGGACACACTGTGGACCCTGGGGTCAGCCTGGCATGGCGGGCAGGGCACCTGTCCTGGGGTCTTCCTGGTGGTACCACTCTGGCCCTACTCCAGCCTGCGGTTCCTCCTGCTCCAGGGTGGGCCTGTTGCTGTGTCAGCTGTTTGAGAGCAGGCGCTGCTCACCACCCATCGGTGTCCCCAGCAGCTTGCAGAAGGCTGAGAACAGGAAAGGCTGCGGAGGACCCCTGGTTGGAGGGTCCTCTGGGCACTGTCCATGGACATGCTGGGTCCCTTCCACAGAACTGCTAGGCCACCGTGATTGACAGGCATGTCTGGTGGAGGACAGAAGGTGCCCTCGCCCTGGAGGACACACCCAGCTCTGTTCAAGGTGGTGACTTGGCATGGGAAGCCTGGTCAAGGCCTGGCTCTGAAGTTCAGTGGCTGCAAGGCTAGACCAATGCCTGAAGTTCCAGGAGCCTCCATGTCCTCCCTGGGCAGTGGGTGGGGGACAGCAGCCGTCTCTTGCTCAGACATTACCTGGCAAGTTTGACGCAGGTAAGGAAATCACTCAGAGTGGGCCTGGAGAGCATTGCTGCAGGTTTCCCAGAGCCCTGATAAAGAAGCTGGCCACCCCGGATTCCAGCCACCTCGGCCCTCTCTCCCAGGTCCCTAGTACTCCCTGGGGCACCTGCCTGGCTGGTGCTCTGCTCCTAAGCAGGGGACCTAGGGGTGGTTCCTCCTCTGGAGACAGTCCCTGGACTGCGGGAGCCTGTCTCAGCGAGCACACTGTGGATAGTGGTGACGCTGCTGGCACAGGACCCGCAGGGCTCGACTGATTGGGCCAAGGTGAAGCTTCAGTGGCCTTTCCTCCTGGCTCTTCCCCTCACAGGGCAGCGGGCCAGGGAGGGCCTTGTTGGTCAGCACGGGCAGGGCTGACCCTCCACTCCCCAGGGCAGAAAGCCCCAGCTGAGCTCAGCCTGGTGTGCTGCTCTGTGTCACTGAACTCGCGGGGGTCTGGTGTAGACGGGACTGGCAGCCCGTCAACACAGAGTTGACACTGATGCCAGGCAGCTGTCCTGTGGGCCCCAGGGAAGCTCTGAGGTCGGGAGGCTTCTGGGTGAGAGTGGGGTGGAGGAAAGTGGAGCATTGGGGCCCCTTTCTCTGCTCACACTCAGGTCACACACCACACGCTCAGTGTCACACACAGTCACAGTGTCACAGCCAGCATTACAGGCACATGTGCTTACATGCCCACACTTGCTCTCATGCACACACACACACACACATTCCTTTCCCAGTGGCCCATTTGTACAGAAGAGGAGCTGGGGGTCCTTGACACTCTCCGGAGCCTCCACCTTGCAGACACACCTTCTGGAGACACTCCCTGGGCTTCCCTGGCCTCTCCAGCTCCTCCTTCTCCCTGCTGGTGACTGTCCCTGGGCTGCCCTGGCCTCTCCAGCTCCCTCCTACTCCCTGCTGATGACTGTCCCTGGGCTGCCCTGGGCCTCTCCAGCTCCCTCCTCCTCCCTGCTGGTGACTGTCCCTGGGCTGCCCTGGGCCTCTCCAGCTCCCTCCTGCTCCCTGCTGGTGACTGTCCCTGGGCTGCCCTGGGCCTCTCCAGCTCCCTCCTGCTCCCTGCTGGTGACAGTCCCTGGGCTGCCCTGGGCCTCTCCAGCTCCCTCCT